TGTTTTAATTCTTAATTATTAATTAGCACTAAATAATTAGAACTAATTGTTAATTAGCACGAGGCCGCTTGTATCCAGCTGGAGGGCTCCCTGGTTTTCCTTTCTTCCAAATTTGCCTTAGAAGCAAATCAGAAGCAATGGTGTGTAGCTCGCTTCAAGTCACTTATAACAAGCCACTGAGAGGTCTGAAGGGATCGTCAGCTAGCAAGGAGCAGCAAGATTCCTTAGGGCCAGCGGAGGATCTGGATCAGAAGGTGTTTCATGGCACGGCACTATATTTTTATCAGCTATTTTTTCCCCTTTCCTAATCTGTGAAGCCTGGGAAGGGGGGAGAAACTACCAAAAATCATGTGCTTTCCCCAACCATCACCTGTAATTCCATGTCAAGCTCGCTCTGCGCTCTGGGTTGTGGTGGCATTCCCTTACATGTTCGTGGCCTCATCAAACTGTTCCTATGGCTCTACAGTGAGACATAATTCAGGCTTGGAGGTTTCAAAGTCGTGTTGAACCACATGGAAATGATTCTCAGAGCTACAGCTATAAAAATAATTATATTGCTAGGGGGAAAGAGTGACAAGAAATGTCCCCAAAAGAGATTTCAGCAGTGGTTACAGGATCTGTCCCAGCTCTGTAAGAGGCTGCTGTGATCTCCAAGGCTCATTTATCACTGCTTAATAGAACTCCATGAAATATGTCTCAAAAAGCACCGAAGGAAGGAATGTGAAGGGAGGTTGTGAAGGAGAAGCACTGCAGTCTTCCCCTTTGTTTTTAGAGGATGCTTTGTGCGCTCTTAAAATTAGAGCTACTCTGCTCAGATGACTGGTGTGAGGATGACTAATTTGGAGACAAATTAGGTGTACTTAGCTGAAATGTATGCCCTGATTGTTCCCTTAATGACCCTTCAACGCACATCTCTCCCGATAGCGCTTTTACCGCAGTCCTGCCGCTGGCAGATTAAGTAGTAACATGCTTTTGCCTCTCTTCCAAGCGGTCCTTCGGTTTTGATCCTGCATTTTCTCTCCACCATGTGTATCTCTAACTCTATGATCGGTAATTAGTTTCTATGCATCTAACCCATGGCAGATTTGTCTTTTGCATGTCTCCTTCTCCGGCGCATTTTCCTTACACCCTCTCTTTCAAAGGTCCCTGAGCCCGAGTGTTTTCTGGCTGACTGCAATATATTTGGTGTCTGCTGTGGAACAGATTTATTCTTTCCCAAGAAAAGACACAAAAGTAAACAGAAGATCCAAAACCGCATTTTTTCCTGGGCTTTTAAATGCACTAAGATGAAACCCCCCCCTCTGCTACAAGCCTATTAATGTAAATACCAAACTTTACAATCCTTCCTGTCAAGGAAACATATTTACATTTTTCTAAGGATGCGTATGAAAAAAATAGGGCTTTGGGGACAAAAAGGGCTTAGTTCCAGTGTCATAGCACCCTCAGTTAACTGCACTGCTTTCATATACCGTAGAATTAGGTTGTTCCCAGGGCCAGCAAAGATAACGTCTGTTTGCTGCTTGAAGGACAAAGTGAAATAAGATGATAGCATTTTATACTGGAGACAGCCCTGGAAAAGCAATGGTAAAGGGCTGTGTATCAAATGTACACGTTGCAAGAGGCTTCCCCAGCACAAAAAAAAAAGATGGAAAAGGTGTTATTAGTGTCACTGCCAGCCCAAGGGAAGCAAAGAACTCATCCCAAGCTATATTGCAGAGAGTGGGAAGCGGGTTGCTGGCAGACTGGTTTTACTAGCACGGGGTTTAGGGCTGTATTGTCTTTTACACTTTGCTTTTGGCATCGCTGTTGGACAGGATTTTTTCTACTAAATAGAAAAACAGGCAATACTTTCTTTACTCTAGACTGTGAAATCCAAAAATCACTAATATCTTGAGTGTTTTGAAGAAAAAAGAGAAAGGTGGCTGCAAAGGGAAGGAGCACAGGTGCTGCTGACGGGGATGTGAAGATTTTTGGGAGGAAGGCTCAGCTTGTATCCAGCTGAAACACCCTATTGAACTCATTGAAGTACAAAGCTGTGCTTGTTTGTCTTGAAACTACTGGAGTAAGTTGTCTGTAATTACATGGACCAGAACAGGAAAACCTCTCATGGCCAGAGGAACAAGCAGCAGTGACCTGCTGGCATTTGGAGAAGCCAGGTGGCATTTCCCCAATTCCCAAGGCTCTGAATTTTAGTCCAAAAGTAGCTCTGATTTTGTTGCAGGTGAAGGGTTATGACTGTTCCTGCAAGGAGAAAAACTTCCCTGCTTTATCTCTCTCCAGAAAGGGAGGACGGCTGCGGCGATCCAGCCTGAACGGCGTTCACCTCTTTTTGCTCACCCAATATTTGCAGTGCTAGTTACTCCCTAGGAAAGGCAGGACCTGATCCCATATTCAAATGGCAATTTCTTAAGGGATTATATATATATTATATATATATATTTATCACCAAGACTATACAGGCAGCTCCCACTATGCATAAAAACTCATCTGGCTGGAACAGACCCATGTGTAAGTCCGTGTCGTGCCACGCAGCTAAATTTGCCCCTTTTTAAAGGGTTTCTTGAGGATCTGGATGTATCTTTAGTTTTTCTTTGCTGGCAGATGTAATTTTTGTTGCCATAAACGATAGAATTTGACACCGCACCACACCAGGCCGTTTGTCAACAGTGTTTTCAACAGTTCAACCGCACGCGTGTGCATGCACACACAGGCACAAGAAAGGAGAAGTGCAGGGGCTTGGGGAAAGGCGAGTTTCTTCTCTAAGGCACTCAAACACAAAGCAAAGAGCCACTTCTAGCCACAGGGCTCAAAGTCAGGTTATGGCAAGGAGGCTGAATACCAATTCACACTGAATTGGTGAAAAAGTGAAGTGAAAAATACGTCGGGATTTGACTCGACATCATTGTTTTTCATGCTGTCAAAATGTCGCTTGCAATTTGCTTTTGGATAGGGGCAACCTGAGCATCAACACCTAAAATCTGCCTCTTCAGAGTGGTGCTAATAAGTAATTCATCCATCAGTGATTTTTAAGTATGGTTTAAAAGAATAAAGCAGGTTTTGCTGCTATAAAGCACTGTGATAAAGAATGGTTGCAGATTTGAGAACAGTTTTAAAACTATCACTGGCTAATGGCAAGCACATCATTTGGGGAAACAACAGAATAAATGCTTTGTTCCACCCCAGCACTTTACTATTCAGCCAATCTAAACTGCTGAAGAAATATGTGTTTGGGACATTTTACATCTGTTTTTGACAAGAAGCCTGGGTTTTAGCCTGTGTGGCGGGGGCTTCTAATCTATTTGCTGCAGCTTTTTTAGCCAGATTAACATGGGAAAAGGCACCCTGTTTTATAAATGGAGGGATGATCCTTTGAAAGAGCAGCTCGACTTTGGATTTTTGTGGCTGAAATGAGGGCACAGCAGGCAAAAAGTAGTAGCATAACGTAATGTCCATAAAACACACACCAGCAGCATCACCTATTTAAACAAAGCTAAACAACAGGCAGCTTGCCGAACGGGCAGAGTAACTGATTTGTGAACAGCCTAACATTCGGGGTGTTACTTCTTCCATAGAGCAGGGTGCGAACACCTTAATTACAACACTGAAGTCCAAAGTGTTTAAGGATGCCAGTGAAACGTTCACTTGGAAGTGGTTTCTAATAGGATTTTAAGTCCCTGTGTTACACCATTAGTAAGTCCCAGTTGAAAACTCTCTGGCTATTTTCAAACAAGGTGCTGCAGTTGCCCCACGGTTGGGTTTTAACTTAAACGGGCCGTTTATTGCTGCTAAAACAAAGATGGATTTGCGCCTTTAAAAGAGCCTGGCCAATGGGCTGGGATAAACTCGATTTTCACCTTTAAGTAGCCGATTCTCTGCATGATGAAATTAATTCACTTTACATCATGCGTGGCGTGATGGGAGGGCTGCAAATTTCTCTCTTGGAGCTTAGTGATATGGGTTCATGGACTCTGCTTTATGTAGCAAGCCCCAGAGAGTGACCAGCGCATGCAAACTCCAGCTGACACAACGCAGAGCTGCTCAGCTTAATTGGCTTGAGATGAGGGTGTTATTAAAGGCCTTTTATTTGCCTTTCTTGCTGTTTATTCCTCCTTCCCCAAATATTACAAAGGCAACTTAAGAGGAAGTAGTTTTCTGCTAACGGAGAACTATGAGGAAGAGTTTAGTGTTAAAGAGTAAATAAGACACTACCTCCAACAACAGCCTTTGCTTTACCGGTACTTTGGGGAAGGGAAACTGAAGAAATAGGAAAATCTGGCTAAGTTTCTTCTATCTTTGTTTGCTTTTTACTGTGTGTGTAGGGGGGGGAAGGGGCACAGCCTGGGCTTGCAGCCGACATCTGCTGCCTATTTCTTTTAGAAGAAACAGAACCTGGGCTGAACATGCCACTGAACCCCACTTACATCCTGCAGACTCCCCAACAGGGAGAGGATGCGGCCGCCCCAGGACTGCTGCCTTGGCACTGGGGTTTTTGGGGCTGGGGTGGCAGCTGTTTCAGATCCCGCTGTCAGCCTGTTGTACTGATTGCCTTTTCCTCTCTTAAAACCTTTCCCCGAAGCAGCGCTTTCTGGCAAATCTCATGCCGCAGCACTTTCCCCCCCCCACACACACACCCTATTCCTCGTCAGCTAGCTCTCTCTCTGTTCCCCCATTCCTGCAGAATAGAATCATGCTGATTTCTATTCTTATTTCTTTTTTAAAATGGGATATATCTCATTTTTGCATGAATGGAAGTTCCTTTTAGTTTGAATTCTTCCAGGCACGGGGGAGCAGAAGGGAGCCAAGCACAACCTATCTCACCTCCAGGTCAGTGGCCCCCAACCCCTTGCCCAGCAGCATCCCAACTCCCTACCGAGTTGTGCCACTTCTTCCCAGGCAGGACCAATCCCTGCAGTAAAGCCGGGCTGCTCAGTGAGCCACGGGCAACCCCATCCCATGATGAACACAGAGCATCATTCAGGAGAAGAGAAATCAGTACCTACCCTTTCGGCAGCTGGACTTGCCTGACCCGGGCGGTGGCTAGTGGGAGGCCGACATGGACCACGCTCCTTCCATCCTCCATACGGAGAAGGCATAACTCAGCCTCTCGTGAGCCACGTAACTACAGCTCGTCATCTTACTGTCCATCTCGTCGCTCTGTAGCACCTGGTAGAGGAAGTCTATATACCGTGCTGCCAGCTTGAGGGTCTGGATTTTACTGAGTTTGTCAGAGGGCAAAGTGGGGATGATTTTCCTCAAGGCGGCAAAAGCTTCATTGAGCGACTGAGTCCTCTGCCTCTCTCTGACATTAGCCAGGATCCTCTGGCTCTGCAGTTCCTCATAAGACTGGGAGCTGGGGCTGGACTTTTTCCCCCTCTTCCCTGGGTTAGGGCTGCCATCTTCGCTGGACTTCTTACTGTATCTTCTCTTCCTGCCAAATCTCTTTGGCTGTCTTTCCAGCTCCTCTTCACTGGTCCCCAAGCTATCCACAGGGGAAACAGGAGAACTGGAGCTTTCTTCCATGCTTTCTGCAAGAAGGGGAGGGGAAGAGCTTTTCCCCCCCTCCTTTATGTTATGTGAGTGTGTGTGTGTGTGTCTTAAATGTGCTTTAAATTCCTGAGACAGATCCTTTGGAAAAACAGGAGGGCTTTTTTGGTTTTGCTTTTTTTTTTTTGTGCTGACCAAACGTTTTCCAGGTTGCTTGAAGGGTTCTTATTTCAAGGACCAGGGTTGTGCAAAAAAACTTGAGGTCTTGGAGAGAGAGGAAGTTATTCCAACTTTTTGGAAACTTTAGCTGAGCTCAGTTGCTAAATAGTTGTCAGAAGTGAGGGAGGTGCAGGGCTCCCTTCTGATTGGCCGGCCAGGTCAGTGGGAGGAAAGCTTTTTCCCCTGCTAAACTTTCACAGTTTTATGTTACACTTAAATCTTGGGACTGCACCTCGAATAAAAGATAACCAGAGACCACCCTCCCCCCTCCCCATAGGTGCTGGATTTGGGCACCCCTTTAGGGTAACGGCCCTGCCAGGGGCTCTTTTGGGGTGCTGAGCACTTACAGGCTCCGTCTCCACCCATGGGCTCCATCTCCGTAGCCAGGCTGCCCTGGTACCTTCCCCAGATCAGGGTGTGCAGGGCTTATGAAGCCCCATCATACCCTATATTTTGCACCCTTGGTGCTGGGGGGGTGTCTTGCACCCTGCTTCTCAACCGCCCTGCAGAGATGGGGACCCATGGGGTGACCTCAGGGTGGCAGAAGTCCCCTGGGGCACAAAGAGCTGCGGGAAGGGTGGAGTTTTGAGCTCCCTTACTTGTGGGGGAACACAGAAAGACCCTCCTGGACTAACACAAATACAGGTCATTGGGAAAGCAGCTAATAGTTGACAGTGAACCTGATGGAGAGTACACCATGGCTATACAGCCTATTTTTCTCCCTGCTTTTTTTCACCTCCTGTCAAACACTAGATAGTACATTTTGGGGAAGCAAGAGCAGAGGTAGGTAGGCAGGAGAATGTCCTTTCCTCCGGAATATCTTGCTGTTGAAATTGTGGTATCCCAGCACATAAAACTCATGGTAGCAGCTCCAGGATTTCTGATGCATCAAACAGAAGACAGCAGATCTCTTTTTCCTCTTCATCACACCAGGGGAAAACGCAGGGAAACTCTGCTTGCTTCCGTGGAGCTAAGGCAGTGCAAAATCGGTTTTGGACCTCTGATTTCAGTTAGAGCCGAAATTGCAGGAACAGATGCATTCCTGAGCGGCAAAGATCATGTTTTCAGTAGGGAGCAGGAAAATGAAATAAAACAATAATAATAAAAATAAGGCAAAAGCAAACTCGTAAAATGTAGATGTTGTATCCGAAGCATTCGTTTGGAGCGGATTTCTTTGCAAAGTTTTCCAGTAGGCATCAACACTCATTAATGGAAAAAATAATGTCTGGTTTGATTGGAAAGTGTTCCTTGGTAGGAGAAGGAATTCTTGGCTCGCCTGGGGCTGACTCCACTCCTGGTAGGTAATGTTTATAGTGGAAAGACTTCCCCAGGCAGCCCCTGGGGAGAGCCTGTGTTTGCTTTCAAAAGGAAAGGTTTTCAGGTGCAGCACAGAAGTCGGAAAGCGAGGCCGTTCTGCAAATAGACTTTTAATCCAATTTAAGACCCTGGCAACTCCAAACGGGTGCCTCTCCCACCCCAAAGCCCGGCTTCCAGAAGGGATTGGGCCTGGCAGCTGGAGCCAAGGGTTGGCGACTACTTTGCATCTGCAACCTGGAGGTCCATGAGTACAGGGGGCTGGGATGGCATCTACCAGCCCTATGGACCTGAAGCAGATGCCATCCTTGGCTGGGTTAGGGTGGTTTATACTGGAGAAACCTGAGTTTACCCTCACCTGTCCTCTAAGTGAAATAAACTGCTGTCCATCGTGGTGCTGATGTGGAGCTGTGCCTCAGAGAACTGAACAGCCCTCGTCAGGGGTATTTGATTTGTATTTGAGGTACTTGGAAGCCTCCTCTTAGTGCATGAGGTCATTTTCTAGTAGTAAAAGGAGCCATCACCAAAGACCAAAGGGGCATCTCTGTTTTCCTTCTGCAAAGAGTGTAGTTTCCCCAGCAGTTTCCTTCTGAATGGCACTGGCTTTTCCGTGTTTATGGGGGTAAGCTGATGTGGATTTGCAAGGGTGTGTGCAATAAGGGAAGGCAGCTGTGTCATGGGGATGAACACCAGGAATATGCTGCCAAAGTTGCTATCTGTGTCTGCAAAAAGCTGCTTGGGGGGGAGCAGGGCAGTGTTTCGGGCTGTTTGAGAGCACCAGGAGCAAGGGAGGAGACCTGAGCTTGCAAGAGAAGCAGAGCTGCTCATTGCTGCCTCGTCTCCCCCTGCCCTGCTGATATGCGTGCTAATAATGTTTATTATGCCTCTTCCTTTTGCCCTAACATGACCACTAAATGCAGGGCTTGATTTCCCAGGCAGTGAGGTGTTTCCATGGGGTGGGACTTAGCTCTTCCAGGGGTTGAGGACAGAGGGTTTTTGGGGGCGGAGTGTGTGGCTGTATCCCAAAACACCCAGTTCTCACCTGACATTGACATTTTACCTTTGTGATAACCACTGTGCCTATCCCATACAAGTGCAACCAGGGATGGGTGCAGCTTAGCGTCATGCTGGAGCCATGGAGGATGCAGTCACTTAGTGATGCACTTAGCTCTGGGTGCTTTTGGCCATGTCATTCTGGGGTGCACGGTGCAGAGCAGGAGCAGGCTTCCATGGCAGAGCAGCCCCCTCACTCTACACACCGTAGTGATATTAACTAAATGAACAACCCCAGCCCCCTGCCTGGCTTCTGTGAACGAGACTCAAGAGTGCACAAAAAAGCGAGGCAAGGTTTCTCCCTATGGGGACTGTTGCTGTGTGCAACCTCTAAATGTGCAAAGCTTTTCAGTATCAGACAGGCTTCACTGGGGGAATTTACGATGAAACTTGTCTGTGTCATAATTATGAAGTCTGTAAACCCAACTCTAACAAACACCAGGTCCAGAGCTGCTGTGTATGTGTGTATTCTTTACAGCCACCGAGTCCTTAGCAGTACCTAGTGCCAGAGCCGAGTACAGTGTTGACAATACTGCAAGTATCTTCCCTTGGAGCAGACCAAAGGCACGGTCTACATGTGTGCAGCCCCGGCTGAAATGTGATCTGGCTTTCCTGACGGAAAAGGGAGCTTTGAGAGGCTTGTGGGGGAGGCAGGCGGTATGAAGGTACCGCTGGCAAAGGATGGGGTGGGTGCATCCTTCCACAGCAGGGTGGGAAAGACGTCATGAAATCATAAACTGCAATAAGAAAAATCATTCTGGTGAAAGTCTTAATGCCCTGTTTAAATGTGACATCCACTGTGATGCTGCTGCTGATTTTCCACTGCCATTACCAGGCTGCTAAAATCCCTTGTTAGCAGGGAGCAATGAGCACAGACCTGGCTTTTGGGGGTAGTGATTATTGTCCGTAGGGAGCCTGTTGTCCAGTTGTCCCCTGGCACAGCTTGGGCAGAAAATCACCTTTCAGTCCCTCTGCACTGTGGAGGAGGATGTTTGGATTTCTGCCACTCCTTTCCTCTGCCCACAGTAGGAATTGGGGAAGGGTCGAGTGCCGTGTCAGTAAAGGTGATAGGATTTCAACATGCTCTGTCAAGGGGGGTTGTCAGGAGCACGCTGAAAGAAGAAAGATACTGTTGACCTTACTGCTTTCCTCCTCCTCCTCTCTACCTACTGCTATAGAGAAAAGCATCATTTGCTCTTTCATAAATGTCGCAAGCGCAAACAGCGCCCAGCAGTGAATAGCCTCTAGTATAGCCAGGTTTAATTAAGCCGATTATATCCTCCCTTCCTCCCTTGCGTTCAGTATGTTTAGGTGATAATTCTTCGGTGCTTTTGCAGCCACCACTGAATATCCACTTCCACATGCTGTCTTTGCAAAGGCAGTCACATTTTGCCTTGCAGTTCTGCTTTGTGGGCTTTGTTTCCTTATTCCTTGCATTGCGCTGCGGCAGCAGCCAGACACGGCAGGCGGATGTTCCCCAAAGCATTCACCCTGCAGTGACAAGTTTATAATCAAAAGCAAAGGAGCAGTGAGTGAGCAACGCAGATAAGAGGCAGGAGGTAAGGAGAGTGAGGCTTTAGGGATAAGACAGTTGGAGTGGAGCACGGTTTCAAAGTAATTGGATACGCTAACACTGGAGTTCTGTGCAGGAATGTACATCTGTTTCTGAACTGTTACCAGCTGATGTGCCCGCTCTTCCTTTATGCTTCCTCGGTTATAAACCCTCAGAGCAGCAGACATAAGCAAAGGAGAGGCTGACCCGGGGACAGCAAGTCCTATTGCTTGCTAATCCTACCAATAAATGCAGTCAAGGTCAAGGCGTGCTTTTGATTTGCAAAGGCATTGCTGGAGCAGCTGGGTGTGCTGATGCCTGCCCTGTGCAGAGCAAGGTGGCAGCTCTCTCCCTGGTTTGAGGGATCCATCTGGTTTCCTCAGCTTTGGGCTGGAGGTTGAAAACATGAACCTTTCTAGGAAAGACTTTGCAGGTGAATGACAACAAAGAGAAGGGAATAACCTGGAGATTTTTCCCTGCAGAAACCCCAGAGGCACTTTGTCCACCTTCTGTATGAATTGGGCAGTTCCACCCAAGATTTGACCAAGCAAGTTGTGAATTGCAAGGGCCGTTTTTCCAGAGCTTACCTTCTTTTCTGTGTAGAATGTCAGAACAAACCCTCTACAGTGCAATAATGATAAATGCAAACCATAACTTTCAAAAGCAATCCTATGGCAAGTCAGATGGTGAAGACACGCTATAATCCACAGCTTTTCCAGTTGAGGCTGGGATTCTGCACAGCACTGAAATGTACCTTGGAGAAGAGAGGTGCATCTGAGCCCTAATAACTTCTGTAGGACATAGGTGTTCAAAATCATGTATTTGCTAAATACACACCTGAATTTCCGATTTGAAACCCCTCTGAAATAAAAAGAGAGAACTTCAGTGGCTTCAATGGGTTTTGGATCAGGGTCTCAAGCACTAAGCAATCAGAGGACCAGTTCAAGTCTCCTGGTCATCCAAACTCCATTGTCAGTAGGACAGGGATAATTTAGACCAGGTACAGTTCTGCCTTGAATGCTGGGTGCAGTGTTTCAGGTCTGATTGCTGATTGCTGTCAAGATTAGAAATCTGTGTAATTTCTCATGTCAATAGCATTGGAAAGACAGTGTGTGTCCTGCTGTAGGAAGAAACCAAAAGGCAATGGCTTTGCAATTGTGGCTTCTATTTTTAATCACAGAGCAAAGC